TGGAATTATATATAATATATCACACTTGCATTGAATTGAACCAACATCTTTATTGAATTCTTCCCAGACTCGCTCTCTACTGCTTTTCACTTTGAAAGCTTCAATATTTTTGTTCCTAGGGCTCCTTCCTTGGCTGTCTTTAGGCACTTCTTGGGTGATGCTGTCCACATCCTTGCCTTCAACTACAATCTACTGCTGAAGAGATGACTTCCAAATCTACACATCATACTCCAACACTCCTCTGAGTCTCCAGTCCTGTGTAAGCCAATATCTACAAGGCATTTCCTGATGTTTCAATATAAACCTAATGCAATATATTCATATTTCCCTAAAACAAGCTTAGGTAGAAGTCAGGTCTGGAGGAAACCTATTCACTAGAGAATTTCTTGGGACTGGAGGGAAATAACCAGCTTGCAGACACTGGCTTTACATGACACCGCTGGAGGGATCAAGCACAACTGTCTTGGTCTGATTTCAGAAGTGGCTAAAACCAGAATATCATTTTAGCTAAGCAGAACAAGGTAAAACTGTATTAAATCCAAGCTGGATGGAGTCAATACCCTTGGGAGATCTATACCAATGGAGAGGGCTCTCACAAGTTACATAAAGTTTTTAAGGCCAAAATAAAGCTTTAAAAAAGGTGATATTAAGAAGCAGGTATCCAGACCAGCTGGATGGGTTATGGCTCAAGAATAGACTTTGGCATCCATGATAGGAGGTGGAAATAAAAAAACAGGTCAATAAGCAGAGGAAACAGAACCATGGAAGAAAGATGAGCCCGTCCTGAAAGAGAGGGAAGAAGACATAATAGCCCATTGACTCCGGGATACTCCAGATTATACAATGCAACATTATTTCACAGACCATTATTTTGTCTTCCCCTTTATGAAAACAACAATGCTACCAATTAAACATGACATGCCATCTCTGGCTGCACCTGATTTTAGAAATATTAAAAAACAGCCAAATGTGCATGTTGCAATTCAGGAGCAGCAGAGATACTAAGACTCCTCAAGCATGCTGAGGACAGGAAACCAGACTTACTGTCAGGCCCCCAGGATGGGAAGCAGTGTGCAGAAATACCATACACTCCTGCTACTGGCCAACAAGCAAGATGAAAGACTAATCTGTCTTTAAAATGAAGATCATAAAGAAATTTACCAGCATGCAAAAATGCTTATGACATGATGTTCAACAACAACAATGAAAGCAATATATAAAATTGAATCATACAGGGCCAGCTCCATGGCACACTTGGGAGAGTGCAGCGCTGGGAGCGCAGCGACGCTCCTGCCGCGGGTTCGGATCCTATATAGGAATGGCCGGTGCGCTCACTGGCTGAGCGCGGTGCGGGTGACACCACACCAAGGGTTGCGATCCCCTTACCAGTCACGAAAAAGACAAAAAAAAAAAAAAATATATTGAATCATACATACAAAAAAGCACCTCCATCCCCAGATCAAATAGGAGTACTGCCAATGTTAATAGTAATTGTCTTGAGGTCTGGAATCACAGGTAATTTCTTTCCTTGCTTCTTTTTATTTCTCTTTCCTTCCACCAAATTTCCATAATCAGCACATAACGTTTTTTTTTTTGGTCTTTTGTCTTTTTCTGTGTCCGGCAACGGATTGCAACCCTCAGTGTTGCCCCCGTACCAGACCGGGGACCGGCAATGGGATCGCAACCCTCGGTGTTGCTCCCGCGCCCCGCTCAGCCAGTGAGCGGGAACCGGTCTGTATGTGGGATCCGAACCCTCGGGCGGGAGCGCCGCCGCGCTTCCCAAGCGGCGCGCTATCCAGTGCGCCACCGGGCCGGCCCAGCACAGCACATAACGTTTTTATAATCAGAGATGAGAAGGTCAAATATGAAATGTTTGTTTTTTAAATTGCAAGCCACATGCATACATTGGTTTATTTAAATATGAGACACAAAACTACCTCATTAATGTACAATACTCTCTCCCTAACAATAAGACAACATTACTCAAATAATGATGTCAGGTCAGTTCATTATTGACATGCAAGAATGTGTAATGCAGGAAATTACTTTTGTCTTTTTCTTTTTTAAATATAAGATTTCAAGAATGTCAATATTATTGCTTAAACAAGGAAAAGCATTAAATACTTCAGTTTTTTCCTGGCTCTTGACCTTGGCATAATAACATGCCAGCAGAAACACATCTGGTCACATTGCTGATAGAAGTCTACTGCTAAAGGTAGGCAGTGGCTCTTATACAAGATGGATTTCTTTTTTTTTTGAAAAAGGGCGGTTTGACAAGTAGCTGTTGCTGACGGAAATTGAAGCTAACACATTTTCCGTTATCTTGACAGAATTGTTTTTTTTAGACCCACATACTCAGTACCAATATATTTCTCGCCTCATATTGAAAAGGAACATTTTGACAAAGGATAAAGATCTGGAAATGTAAACATTATACTAGCCAAAAGTAAAAAACAAAACACTCTACCTTCTACTCTGAGTAGCACTATCTCATAAATAGGCTGAAAATCTTGGGACAAATAAAATTTTTGTTTATAAAGCTCAAAATATTGTCTCCTTTCAAATGCTTTTCCTTGCTCAGGCATACTAAAAGCCTGAACAAGCAATAACAGTAACAATAAGCAATAAGAGTATGGAATTCTAATTAAAATATCTGAAATACACTTTTATCGAAAAACTCAAATGATATCAGATTACAGTAATAATGTTTGACCCTACCTAATAAATATAGCTACAATATACACGTTTTATTTTGAGTGTTAAACAGCAATAAAACAGACTTTTCTTGATAGCATCTATTATACCTTACAATATCAGATATTCAGAAGGAAATAAAAGCTGAAGTAATTTAAAGAAAACTTTAAGGGCAGCTTACTGCCACAGTTCTTCTTTCTTAAATGGCAACATAAACAATATAAGAATGAGAAACGTAAACTGCAATTGCTATCAAATGCTTAAAAAGCAATCGCCCTAATGTGTAGGCAAATAGTGTAAACAGCCTTTTTCAACGAGAATTAAATAGAGACAATAGTGAGGTTATATTTAAGAGGCTCATGAGTTAGAAAATATTACAGAACTTTTAAGTTACTGCATTACTATCAATGAGTCAACCCAGATTAACAACAATTGAATTGGACATTTACAGACTAGTAACTTCAAGATAAGAATTCATTTTGTGGAAAATTTTAGCCAAACAAATAAATTAAGCTATGAAGCCATTCTGCTAAAGCTTCCTGTCATCTTCCACACTCTGACTCAGAACCAGTCTAATAACAGTCTCAGATGTGTCTGATATCGCCATCTCCTGCTATTTACTCCCATCTAAATCTACTCTGATATTTATACTATGAAAGTATTTCAAAGTTCATGGAAAGGTTTGCATTATCTTGTAATTCTATTTTTTGATGAACTTTTTGAAGTTTTCTCATACGCACCTCCTGTCTCAGCAACAAGTGAAGATGACATGGCTGCAGGTAAAGTCCAAAGGCAAAGCAGTTTTAGAAACCAAAAAAGCACTTAGCCTGCAAGCTTTAAAATAACCAAGACAGCTCAAAAGCCAATGTAATGACTTCTGCACTTCTTAAAAGATATGTTATAACAAAAAAAAAAGCATCGATCTACCTTCTCAAGAATAAAATAGCCAAGAAACAAAAAACACAAAAAGGTTTAATCAGCTGAACAATCAGGAAAATACACTACAAAGCTCTGTTGAGTTTCCACTCACTCATTCTTTTAAGAAACATTTATCAAATATCATAAAATATGCTAGACATTGTGCGAATTCAGGTATGAGTAAGGAATCCAGTCTGGGAGAAAGCGGTTACGATAAAACAGAAGAAACAACGTGTTTTATAGATTTATGGAGAAAGGTGCAGCTAAATGAAAACTGCAAAAGCCTTTGCAGCAGAGGCAGTAACGAAGCTGAGCCTGGGATGGTGCATAGAAATCCTACAAGTCAAAGAATGGAAAGAAAGGACATTCCAAGATCTGAGGAGAGGATAATAACTAAAGACTCAGGAAAGAGAAAGTGCTGGGCACAGGTGCAGAGACAGGGAAATAAGGCATGCCTGGGAGCACAGGGGGCCACGTCTGGGAATGTGCACGGGGGCCAGATGGTGATGGACTAGGAATGTCAGAGTAAGTGCTGGGCAAAGGATAGAAAAGGAGGTTTTCTGTGACAGTGACTCCTGTACCTGGCTGCACACCAAATGTCACCTGTAATGTTTAACAAGATAGAGTCTCAGATAACACCAGGAACAGGAAACTATAATTTGTTAAGCTCCTATGGAGAATCTCATTATCAGTCAGATATGGGTGGAAGATGAACCACCACTTAGAAAAGTGACAGAAAGGAAGGAAAGAGAAGGGTTTGGAGGGCAAGAGAAGACAGGGCAGAGGCAGAGAGAACAGAAAAGGGGAGACCGCTAAAAGAGAAGTACAGAGGTAGAACCAACAAAAAGTACCAACCATGAGATATGGGGCTAATGAAAAAAAATCCAAAGACTACGTTAGGTCAAAAAGAAGAGGAAGGTAAGCACGCCATTAGAAAACACACAAGAAGGGCCATGTGTTTACTGGAAAAGACACTAAATTTGGACAGTCTGAGGCTGAGTTAATGTGTGGTATAGGAAATTTGGTTCTAGAAATTCAGGAAAATTAACTTCATGTTTAGATATACACTATTTGCTGACACCTCTTCTAGGTTTGATGTATACTGCTACCTAACCATGTTTTATTAACTTTGGGGGTATATGTATCTCTCTCTTCAAGTACATGAAAGGCAAACAACATATATCAGGCACAGTGCTACAAACTTAAGAGAACTCAGTAAACATTTATTGAATAGTAAATGTTCAACATTCCTCAAAAGAGGAAGTCTTTAAAAAGTTGAAGACTTTAGTCTTTTTTTTATTTTAAAGAGAAAAGGGAAAATATCTCTCTATTCTTTTTTCCTTCTTCATTCATTCACTCATTCATTTTTAAGATGTCATAATTCTTACCTTTGTTGCCAAGGCTTTTAAACTGTCAAGGAATCTTTGCCAGAAATCCTTAAAGAGTGGGCGGTCAATTTTCTTCAGGCTATCTCTGGTGCTAGCATCCACACTAACATATAGCTGAGTAACTGGCTTGAGGTTTCTTGGTAATTAAAAAAAAAAAAGGAAAGAAAAGAAAAAAAAGAAGAACATTACACCTGATAAAAGGCTTTCCATGATGTAAAACTTACAATCTGTCATAGATGTGGTTATTAAACATTTCACTAGATCTACAGGCTTCTACTTCTCCCTGAAGATTGAAGCAATGATTTTAATAATGTGACAAAATGGGATGTCCTCTGGTTATTTTTTAAATGACTGAACACCATCCCTAGTAAATTGAAAACATTCAAAGATTTTAAATTGGCCACTCTTCAAACACTAGGTTTTAATAGAAAATAAATGAAACAACATCTAACATTAGGTCTGGCAGCATCAGCCCAGCACAGAGGGCTCTCAGACCTAACTTTCCCCATAAATGATGCCACACAAGATTGACACAGGTGAAACTTCACAGCCCTGTGGGTTCTGTGCTGATAGGCCACCTCCCATCATCAATTCACTGATGGAAGTCTTCCAAGGAAAAACCCTGAAAGCTCAAGCCTTACCTGAAGGGCACAAAGTCATACCTACACCTCCAAAAGTAAGAGTGGGTTTAAAGTCAAGACTTTTTGGACAGACAGTGACCTATTGAGGAGCTTTAAGCAATGCAGAACTACCTAGCACTTACAAAGGAGGGCATCCAGAAGAAAAACGTATGCTGCAGATTCTTATTTTTCTTTGCCTTCTCAGTTTCCATGAACACCACTCATTCTCCACGTTTCTCAAATTCATTGACTCAGTTCATAATTTCACTCCTACCTACTAGATTTCTAGCAAGTGAAACCTAGATTGTACTTTTTCCAAAGATTTTTTCCCCATCTCCTTTCAAACAAGTCTCATAAGTCATTCTCTTCAGTGATTTTAGAATCCTCTGACAAATACTCCCACTATCAATTCTCTAACTACACTGCAGTTTATTCCATGCTTACCCCTACAATGTTACAAATGTATTTTTGTTTCAAAGTCTGTACACTTTTAAAAATAGAGATACAACTCATGCGCCATAAAATTCACAATTTTAAAGCAGTTTATGTGCTTTTTATATCTATCAGCATCAGGCATATTTTTCCTATTTTCCAGCCACACAAGCAGATACTTAAGTAGTTACTTTTTAGTGAATGCTGTTGACTTCAGTGGACAGAACTTTTAAGGGAATGTAGGCCAAACAAATGCTTGCAATGACCTGGCTTAGTGTCTAGACCCAAAGTTATTAGAAGTAGAGAAGCCCTAACCAAAGGTAGCTAAGAGAAGATTCAAATACTGGCAGACTCTCATTGCTCTAACCCCTCTGCAATATTGATATACAAAAGGGAATCCTTAAAAGTTCAGTAATGTGTCACTACCGAACAAAACACAGTGATTTTCCTGGGAGCCTCTTTAATAACAAACTATGCTACCTTAACTGGAATTTTTTTTTTTTAACAACAAAAAGATTGTCTTAATGGTTACTGATGGCTATCATCTGATACTTACAGGGCTTTGTCATAAAGCTTCCTGATGCAAAATGGGAGCTGGCCTGACCTTTTCACTATGCCTCCAAAACTCCTGAAGATTATGAGCAGTAAATTCCAAAGGCCATACCTATTTTACAAACCTCTATCATTTATAAAAAAGGAAGCCCTGGACACTGACAACACCAATAAAGAATTGGAGTCATTACTAAATGTGAGATGCTATAATTAAGGAAGTTTATAGATCTTTTGCCAGGGAACGATGGAAGAATAGAGAAGAGGAAATGTCCCTAGAAATGAGAGAGCTCATTTCTAAGGTGCCGAAAGCAGCAAACGGACCTTGGAGAAATTTTCTAAGCCTCAGGGGTCTTATTCCTGCCTAGTGCTGGCCTCTGTTCACCCAGGACAAGCAGGGAGGATCCCAGATGGTCATTTGTCTGTCTCCATTCTATACAGAGATAGCAACATTTTAGCTTCCAAAAAGCAAGAAAATGTTATATTATTAAATCCGAAACTCTACGATAATCTGGGGCTGTGAGATCAGGCCAAATAATTGAAGAGGAAGGAGGAGGATGCAGGAGAAAATTGTTCACTCTCCGCCAAGTACTCGTCAGGTGCTGAGTGCTCTACCCTTCTCGTTCAGCCCACTGAACCCTCACAATAAAACAACGAGGTGGTTGCTATTTATGCCCATTTCAGAGGTGATAAGGCTGCAGTTCAAAGAGGTTAAGTGTCCTGTGAAGGATCAACAGAAAACAAGTGTCAACAATGAGATTCGAGCCCCAAAGCAACCCCAGAGCCTATTCTAAGCCCGCACCAAAATGTGAAGTTCGCAGCTTGGCTGAGTATTCAAATCACTGCAGTTTAAGGCAACAAACCATATTCCTAAAATGAAAAACCCCAGAAAATACAGATGATTTATGAAAGGCAGATTATAACTGCAAAGTCCTAAGAAAAGCCAAAACTATGAGTCTTTGGAAAGAAATTCTAAACTTAATTCCTTTTCACAGGCTTCCGTACCTCGTTCAACATTTATTCAGGGCTTCCTATGAACCGGACACTGGCACAGAGACTCGGCCCTCCATACTTCCATCAGGAGGGAACGAGAAATGGATGAGCATCCCACCAAGTGCTCAGCACCATGACTAAAGTGGGTGAAGTACAAAGGGAATAAACAGAGGAACGAGTTGATTCTGCCTGGGGATTAAGAAAAGGGGATTAGGGGCAAAGTCAAAGCTGGCCTTTGAAGGACACAAAGTTCCTCGAAAAGATCATGAGAAGATCATTCCTAGGGATGACCAAAGGAGAAAAGCAAGCAAAGGCCCAGAGCTGTGAGATGCATCAGGATAGATGAGTCACAAGCTGTCTCAGTGGCTCTAACATGGCAAAGAGGACTGGGAGAAGTCTGAGGCCAGCTCTCATGACCTGCCACGAAGGTTAGGCTCGGCTTGCCGAAGACTTAAGTAGTCAAAGACACCATCAGGCCAGTGCTGAAGAAAGTAAGCTGCCTTCAGAGTGACTGACGGGTGGATTACAAAGGTAACAAACTACACTGTTCTGCACCTGGCTCTTTTCTTACCCCCACCTATTACCAGTCCAACAACCCCTTACCCACAATCCCAAAATCCAAAAAGTTCTAAAACCCAAAAGGTTGTTTTTCTAAGTTTGGAGCCAAACTCACTTGGAAGCAAACTCTGATTTATCATGAGGCTCTTTACATTCTTAATTTTTCTGTTTATGTGAAAAAGAATACTCTGTTGCAGAACTAATTATGTGGGCCTATAGGGTGCTGGAGATGTTACACTCCCAGAGATGTTACAAAATATAGCATAAGCACTGTATTGCCTTTCTAAAATCCTAAAAAAAATTAAAAAATAAAATAAAATAAAATTTAAAAAAGGGCCAGCCTGGTGGCGCGCTGGCGCTCCCGCCGAGGGTTTGGATCCGATGTGGAGACTGGTTCCCGCTCACTGGCTGAGCGCGGTGCAGGGACAACACCGAGGGTTGCGATCCCGTTGCTGGTCCCCGGTACGGGCGCGACACCGAGGGTTGCGATCCCGTTACCGGTCAGTAAAAAAGACAAAAAAGGAAATAAATAAATAAATAAAATCCTGAAACACTTCTACGCACAAGGGATAAAAGAGTGTAGACAGTTCCTTGCAGGTATCATTCCACACCAATGCACAGTGTTTTGTCACTTTTTTTCTTTGATTTTTTTTTACAACTGCTTTGTATGACAGTATAAATGTACACTGTGATTTCTCTTTGATACACTGGTTATTTAACAGTGTGTTGTTTAATTTCCACATATTTGTGAATTTCCCAAATTTGAGCATATGAAATTTTTGGCCATTATTTCTTAAAATATTCTCTGTCCCTTTTTCTCCTTTCCTCTGGAACTCCCCTTATGAATGTGTTGGCATGTTTAACAGTGCCCCCCAGGTCTCTGAGGCTTTTTTCTGATAGCCTTTTTGGTGAGGCATCATTCTTATATTTCTCTTTGGTTCTTTGGAAATACTTTCCTTTAGTTCTTTGAATGCATTTTCAAAAGCTAATTTAAAGTCTTTGTCTAGTAAGTCCAACATCTAAGCCTCCTCAGGAACAGTTTCCATTAGCTGTTTTCTTCCCTATGTATGGGCTATAGTCTCTTGTTTCTTTGTTTATTTTGCGATTTTTTCCCCCTTGATGAAAACCTGACATTTTAAATAATATTATGGGCAACTCTGGAAATCAGATACCTCTCAACCCAGGATTATTTGGGGGGGGGGATGTTTATTTTTTAACTGTTTGCTGCTATTTTTGTTGTTGCTTAACTAATCTGTTAAATTCTGTATACTTTGTTGGTTTTGGCCATTGAAGTTTCTGTTCAGTTAGCTTACTGGTCAGCTAATGACTGGACAGAGGTATATTTAAATGCCCTCAGCCAATAACTCTTCAGAGGGCAGGCAGGAGTGGGGTGCATGCTTTTGATGCCAGTCAGGCAGTTCACAGTTCTGCCTCAGTTTTCACCACCCGCTTGCTCAGGACATGAGGGGAGAGCACAGGCCTTCTCAAGTCTTCCTGAGCATGCTCACTGCCTTCCTCATGTGTGTGGTGTTCTAGATTCCCAGGAATAGGCTGTAGCTTTTCAAAGTTCCCTATAAACATCTCATTCCCCAGCTTTTCCTTTTAGATTTTTTGGTTAGCTTCTTGTTTGCCCCAACTGTTTTGCCACATCAGGCAGTTGTGAAGTTAAACAATTCCCTATACTTGTTTATGAGAAACACCCCAGAGAGGGGTTTTTTGCAGCAGACAATCAATCCTGAGTCACTTCAAATAAAGATAAGCCCTATGAGCGAAAGCTTCCAGGAAAATACCACACAGGCCACATAATGACCATTTTCTGGGAATGAGATTTTGAAGAGTTCCAACTCTATTTTGCTGCTCCCTCTGGCTGCTGGTTTTTACTATCATTGTGGGCTATTGGTTTTCAAGGCTACTACAAGAACTGGGGAAGTCAGAACAGAATGGGACATGTTAACATCACAAAGCTCACTGTTCTTACTGAGAT